CACTGTCGGAGGGTCAGTACTGAGGGAGTGCCGCACTGTCGGAGGGTCAGGGCTGAGGGAGTGCCGCACTGTCGGAGGGTCAGCACTGAGGGAGTGCCTGGTGAAATTTGGAGAATGTGTGGATTGAGAAAGGGAAGTTGCAATTTTAAAACAGTGATGAGGAAGCTTATTGTTTTCTCCCAGAGATCTGTTATTGTTTCAAATTGTCTTCCCCACTTGGCAACAGGATCTAGGTCACTGAATATATTCCAGGCCGAGTTCCTCTGAGCTTTGACTGACAAGGGAACGAGGATATTGGGGGGGAGGAGGAAGCTGGAAAGTGAATTGACCATCACTATTGGATGTGTCACATTGAATGGTGGAACTGGCTCAAAGGCCTGGACCTGCTGCTGATGTGTTGTGGGTTTCTGTTTATTGCTGCCGTTTGGTGATTTTCTGGTGAAGTGTGTGTCAGAGCAGCAGCTACACAGTGAGCTGTTCATGACGCACTCACTGAAACCACAGTATCTTTCATCTTAAGGAGTGTTCACTCGATCTTGCTGCCACTCAAACTGAGTCACAGATTCATACAGTGCAGAAAAGGCCCTTCAGCCCATCGAGTCTGCACCGATCATAACAACTACTAAAGGTGCACTAATCCCAATTTCCTGCACTTGTCCCATATCCCGGAATGCTATGATATTTGAAGCATTTTTGACAGGTTGTAATGTTTCCAGCCTCCGCTGCCTTCCCATTCGATATATTCCAGATTCCCATCACCCGCTGAGTGAAAAGGTTCTTTCTCAAAGCCCCTCTGAATCTCCTGCCCCTTGCCCTGAAACTATACCCCCTTGGGCCTGACCCCTCTACCAAGGGGAACAGCTGCTCTCTACTAACCCTGCCCATATCCCTCTTAACTTATGCACCTCAGTCATGTACCCCCTCAGTCTTATGGCTCTAAAGAAAACAATCCAAGCCTATCCAGTCTCTCCTTATAGCTCAATTTTTCTGTTCCAGGCAACATCCTCATGAATCTCTTCTGTACCACCTCTCGTGGTACCACTTTTCTCTATCCATTTGTGGGATGTGGGTGTTACTGACTAGGCCAGCATTTATCACACATCCCTAATTGCCCCTTGAGAGTGTGGTGGTGAGCTGCCTTCTTGAACCGCTGCAGTCCTCTGCTGTGGGTTGACCCATATCACCCTGAGGGAGGGAATTCCAGCATCTTGACCCAGCAACAACGAAGGAACAGTGATATATTTCCAAGTCAGGATGGTGAGTGGCTTGGACGGGAACTTGCAGGGGGTGGTGTTCCCATGTATCTGCTGCCCCTTGTCCTTCTGGATGGAATTGGTTGTGGGGTTGGAAGGTGCTGTCTGAGGATCTTTGGTGAATTCCTGCAATGCATCTTGTAGATATTACACACTGCTGCTACTGAGCATCAGGGTAGAGGGAGTGCAGTGAGGTGACCAGAACTGCACACAGTACTCCAGCTGTGGCCTGACCAATACTCTCTACAACTCCAACATTACCTCATTGCTCTTACACTCTATGCCCTGACTGATGGAAGCAAGTGTCCCATGTGCCTTCATAACTATCCTATTCACGTGCTCTGCTGACTTCAGGGATCTGTGAATAATTACCCCAAGATTCCTATGTTCCTCTAAGCTACCCAGTGTCCTATCATTCATTAAATACTCCATCATTTTGTTTCTTCTTCCAAAGTGCATCACCTCACACTTATCAGGGTTAAATACCATCTGCCACTGGTCTTCCCATCTGACCAACCCACCTATAGCTTCCTGTAACCTATAACCACCTTCTTCACTGTTAACCACTCTACCAACCTTGGTCTGCAAACTTTCTTAACATTTCCCCCACATTTTCATCTCCATCATTTATGTATATAACAAACAATAAGTGTCCCTGTACTGATCCTTGTGGTACACCACTGGACACCAGCCTCCAGTCACTCAAACAACCCTCTACCACTACCCTTTGTGTCCTATTATTAAGCCAGTTTCTGATCCATCTCACCAAGTTTCCAATAATTACCCTGACATTCAACAGAGCTGAACTCACTTTGATTCGCTTCCTTTGCTATAGCATGATATATCTCTGTTTCATTGATATTCTGTGTCCTCTCCCCCTGTCAGACTAATTTAAATTCCTCCCAACAGCACTAACAAACCTACTTGCAGGGATGTGGTTCAGGTGCAGAACAGCCTGTTTGTACATGTCCCACCTTCCGCAAAAACCGTCCCAGTGATCCAGGAATCTAAAACCCTACCTCTCATACCAACACTTCATCTGTCCTATTTTCCTGTTTCTAAACTCACTTGCACGTGGTACCAGGACTTATCAAGACATTACGATCATTGAGGTCCTGCTTTTTAATCTACTTCCCATCTCCCTGTATGGCTACTTCAGTCGGAAGGATAGGAGCATGTTCCTTCGTGTGTAGGCCAAGACCTGTCGCTCGCTCCACATCTCTAAAACTATTTATCAGGTCACACTGTCAGTGCTGCTTGCTCTCATGAGATCTAGCTGTGCACTAATTGCCTGTGGCGTTTGCCTATATTAGAATAGTTTCTGCAGTTAGAAATCCACCCCCAGCTGTGAAGTGGGTTTGAGAATGTTTGGAAGTGGGGAAACGCCATAACTACATTGTTTTCCTTTCTCCCTGTAACCAAATGCTGCTGGGAGTTCCTCACTGGGAACCTATTGGAAGAAACTCTCCTCCGGCCTACACACTCTGTGGCTTACTGGCAAAAGACCAGCCAGAACCACGTTGAAACTTGCTTCACTCACAAGTTACCTTCACAACAATTAGACTCAATCTCCACAGCCAGCTCCTGCAGTTTTCACAATTCTGGAATTGGTTTGTGTTTCAGCTGCTGCCAATCTTTAGTTAAATTACTTTATCCGCAGGGTGTGAGTGTCACTGATAAGGCTGGTATTTATTGTCCATTCCTAACTGACTGGAGAAGGTGACCCTTCTTCAGAAATGGGGTCAGAAAGAAGGTCCCGGCCCGAAACGTCAGCTTTCCTGCTCCTCTGATGCTGCCTGACCTGCTGTGTTCCTCCAGCTCCACACTGTGTTATCTCTGACTCCAGCATCTGCAGTTCCTACTATCTCTGACCTGAGAAGGTGCCTTCTGAAATCACCATCAGTGGGTTTGATTGAACTGAGCCTCTCTGTCACCCCCACAGAGGGCAGTTAGTGGGGGAACCGATATTAGTGTGGGACTGGAATCACATGGAGAGCTCTCCTGGGGAAGGACAGTGGTTTTCCTTCCCCAAGTGCAGTGATAGAATCATTGTGTTTCACAGCACAGAAGGAGGCCATTCAATTCAGCTAGTCACACTCTCCAGCCCTATCTGTTAACTGTCTGCGAATGTCATGACTTTCAAATATACACCCAGCTCTTTTGAAACCTCCTATGAATCCACCTCCATCACTCTCCCAGGCAGCACATTCCAAATCCTAACAACTCTCTGAGTAAAGAAGTTTCTCCTCATCTCACTCCAAGCCCTCTTGCTGACCATCTTGAAACTGTGACCCCTAGCTACTGACATACCAACTGTTGGAAACAGAATATCCTTCTTTACCCTATCAACATTGTTCATACTTTTGAAAACCTCAATAAGGTCACCTCTTAATCTTCTCTGCTCCAAGGAGAATAAGCCCAATGTCTCTAATCTTTCCTCGTAGTACAAATCCCTCTTTCCTGGTATCATTCCAGTAAATCTCCTTTGAACTTATTCCAGGGCTTTAACATCTGCCTTAAAGTGAAGTCTGACCAATGATTTGTAGAGATATAGCATCCTCCATGAAGTACACTGTGAGTTGGTTAATGCGCTAGTTCTGTTCCTGGATTGGGATCCACGTTGTGTGAAGTTGCTCCCACCATCGGGCAGTTTGACAATTTCAATTTAACTGCAAATTGAATCTGGAGGTGAAAGAGCAGGCAGCATTCTCCATTCCCCTGCCCACTCCCTCTATCCCCACTCCTCCTGCACTGTGGGATTGGCCTGGCTTCAGAAACCACCCCCTTAGCCCTCCCTCCTGGTGCTTTTCCCAGTGACTGTCTCCCCACCCCCACCCACCCGACCTGCCCACACGCCATGGGGCATGTGACACCCAGGACCCTTTCCTGACCCA